GGCCTGTGTGGATAGGCCCTACGTACATGGCATTTAGAGCGGATAGGCCCTGCGCGCGCGGCGCCTAGCGTGGATAGGCCCTGCGCGCCTGGTACCCGCAGTAAGCCTGCGCTTGCAGCAGCGTTGCACGCCTAGGCCCTGTGCGCGTGCAGGCTAGCCCCTGCGCGCACGACAAGAGGCCTGTATGCCTGTAGGTTAGCCTGCAGCGTGCCGTCTGGGGCACTGCCGCCTCGGGCAGTGCGCCATTACCAGTGAAGGAGATCCTCCTCCCTCGTTTTTCGTGTTGAGTATCTTTTTCTCCTCTCTCTTCACCATATTTCGCCACTTGGTGCAAATTCAACGGTTCTAAAATTCTATAAATTTACCATTCCCCTTTCGTTGCTCAACACACTTCCATTCTTCCATTTTTCAAGATTTAGAAAGAGAGCGAGAGAGATAGTAGTCTAGTGAGAGAATGAGGGAAAGAAAGGAGAACAACGAAAGAGAAAACATCAAGATTTTGGTAAGAAATTTAATACTTCTTTTGACGTTTTAAGGATTTTTTTTAGATAAACTAAAATTATTAAACATGATGATTGTGATTATGCCTGTTTTGTATGTCTTTGTGTTCATAGTTTAGATAAGTCGAATTGTTATTTTTTTCAAGCATGCTATATGAATTTCAGACACTTGATGAATTGCATGTAATAAATATAATATGTAATCGGTAAAAATAAATAGTATAGGAAGAAAAAGAAAAGAGAAGTGTGGAATAAAGTATGATTGGTCCAAAGTATATCCGTATTGACATGCATATTGCATGAGGTATCTCGTTAGACTTTTTATCTCTAATGGGTATTTGTTTCCCTTACCCTTCGGGGTATCTGTTTCCTCCTCCCCTATCTAGTCTAGAAAGACGTAAGAGAACTGCTCTTATTGGATGACAGCGTACCTTATGTAACGCGAATATTTGTAGGGGTCACCCGTTGCTAAGTAATGTCGTGACTATAGATATCTATTAGGGCCACTATGGTTGGTACAGTCGTGATTATAAATCATGTCATGGTTTGGCTAGCCGAAAATGGGCCTGAGTAAATTGTTGTATCTGTATCTGATATGGTCTTTCCACTTGGGTAGTCGAAAATCTGTATCTGCCTTTAAGGATGGAAGTTGTAACGATTTTGCAAAACATGACACGAAAATCTGATCATTTCATGATTTATTTAATTTTTTCTATTATCTAGCATGATGTATGTTTAATTATTTCATATTAATGTACTGTTTTCATAATAAATAAATTATTTTTATAATGTAAGATCGATTTACGATGAGGCCAAAATGTATGCTGTAAGTTAAAATAATTCACCTTTAAAATCTTACTATGTTAATTTAATACTGCTTTCCTTACTGAGTATATAAAACTCACTATTTCCATTCTTCTTACATGATGAAGAAAATGAGGAAACGCAGGCTAACCTACTCTTGGAAGTCTATGAGGATCCCATGGATCCATAAAATTTGAGTGCATGATTGTTCTCGCACTCTGATGAGTTCAATAGCATAGTGAAAGAAGTGGTCTTTTTTTATTTTTTGTTTCTTTTGTATTTTGTAGTCATTTCAGGTCTCAATTATATGTATGTAACTTGAACTCATATATACATATTTGTAAAAGATTTATAATAAGTTTTTCCCGCTGCATTAATTTTACTATGTATTTGTTATTCTAAATCTGTGTCTAATACCCATTTACCTTAATTAGCATCTGGGATGTCATAGATGGTAATAGAGCAGAATAGTTGCGGATCAAATCCCTTACACTAAGGCCTTAGGTAGAAAAAACCCTTAGAGTATCTAAGAAAAATAAGTCATCTTTTCAAAATTAGACCACCAACTCGTGTCTTCCTTTCTTTTCTAGGAATGACGCTAGGAGGACCATCTGTAGAGTGTACTGAGCGACCTAAAGTCCCGAATCACCCAATTAGGGCTAAATTTTCCAAATTCTTCTAAGCTATCCAAGGACTAACTGCAGCCGCATGACAAAATCAAGTCAACCCCTTTCCACCTCCTGCCCCTGAATTCTGAAACACCGAAAGATCTATTTCCTACAACATAGTGGAGTTTAACAAACTTAACCCCCCATACTTTGAAGGTGGCCCTGATCCTTTAGTAGCCGAAACCTGAATCCTACAGATAGATAAGCTCTTCTCTATCCTAGACCTGACCGAGGAAC